GGAAAAAACATTTCTGGTGAAATCATGATTGTGATTTTGCCAAAACAAAAAGTTATATTAAAAGAAAGATCAGCTGACTGAGGCTTCTCTCAAAACTTCAACCACCACTGGTGTGACTGGTTAAATCACGCAGGGGTCACAGGTTCCAGTTATAACGGTTTATTTAACTTGCTGCTTGACAAGGTGTTCATACACATTTGCATGAATGTGTGAATGTATCTCTCTTCATATCTGTGTATGGGTGCTTGTGAGTGTGTGTGTATGTGTGTGTGTGTGTGTGTGTGTGGTTTCTGAAAATGGAAATAAACAAGAGAAACATATACAAAGTGTTAAACTCAGTCATTCCTTTCAGAATATTAAACTAAATGACCTACTCCTAATAAAACACAAGTGTATGAATGTGTTAACTGTCTGTTGCAACCAAATCACGTGTAAAATATTATTGCTACATTACATGTACAATACACCCAATAACAATAATAATTGGGTTTACAAGTTTTCTATACACAGGTGTATGTTAATGTATACTATATATATGTAAATTTTACATATAGTAGCCTATATCAAATTGTATATATATATATATAGATATAGATATAGATTGTCAATCAAATGTATAATTGTAAACATACTGTATAGATATAAGGATTGTATAATATATAAAATGTAAATATAGTACATCAAATTGTACAAATAGATATGTATATATAGATATATGGATTGTATAAATACATAAATTATAAAATGAATAAATTATATAAATTATGGAAAATCATTGGATTGTAAATATCAAATATAGTATCTTAAATATAATATAGCAAATTGTATATGGATAGATTGTATATATAGAGAGATTATAAGGAACACAGGAAGTTAATATAATTTAATAAATATTAATGATTGAGCTGTGGAAAAGGGGTAGGATTAAATAAGTTTTATACTTCTTCCTACTCCTTTTCAGGCATATCAATTGAATTTATGTAATTTGCTTTTTCTTTTTTTGTGAAATAATTTGAACATTGTTTTTTGTTTATTGTATTTTCGTGCTTTTCATTTTGTTTTGTATTTTTGATATGTTTGATTTTATTTGATATGTCTGAAATAAATTTAATCAATCAATCAATCAAAAACATGCTTAACATGAGAAATAATGAAAGAAAGGTGTACTAAACAATCAACAAAAACCGTGGCTGCATCAACTCACTTCATCTTAATTGGTCTTCATTAACATCAAAGGGATATACATTTACCTATAGAAATTATAATTAGCACCGATAAACTATTACATTTACTTACATTTCAATGGACGCACACAATATGTCGAATTGAACAAAGCAGCACCCTTTTCTTACTCAAGCACTCTTGCAACTTAAACTGTAAACTCTCTTCTCTTTCGAACACTGTGCCAGACACTACGGAGCCGGAATCTACCACTTTTAGAGGGTTTTTTTTTGGAACAGTCCAAGCGAAGCTGGCCTTTTTAACAGATATGATATTTTTTCCATATCGCCCACCTCTAATGGTAGGTAGGATTTAGTGAAGTGTTTCCAGAAATGATCGGAGACATTGGCACACTTCGGAGAGGTGTGCTTTGACACGGTACACTTCATGCACGAGCACGCGGGCACACAACGCTGACAGCCTTCATTATGGAGAAATCCACAGTTTCATGGCTGTATCTGAGTAACATGATTCGATATAAGACACAAAGTAGCTGTCATATTCTCTGTATTCTCCGATGTGCGGCTGTGGACTCGCCGGCGGACTCGGCCGCACGTCTATTTTATTTTTTATTAATTTATGGCTGTATCTGACTAAAATGACTCAATAGAAGCCACAAAGCAGCTGTCATGTTCTCTGTGTTGTTCTCCGGTGTGCGCGTCCCTTTTTTCTATCTCTCTCTCTCTTTCTCTCGCACGCTTCATAATAACATAAAGCATGTGTGTGTGGTATTACAACGTTATGTACAAGAGGTAATCGTGCTTAAGCACGGTTAGTCCTGGCCAGTATGACCGCAGGCCGGCCAGCGTGGGAATGGTACAGCGGGGGGCCAATCGTACTTGAGTACAGCATGGTACAGATGGCCAGTGTGACCGCGCCCTAAGACTCCTTTGTCTAGTTCCCTCGAAAAAAACTCTAGTCAGGCTTTAAAAAGGGAATACAGGCCTGAGTCCTTTGTCCAGCACACATGGCCGGGTCCCAACATTACTTTATATCAAAATAAAATCAGGGTTGGATTCAAACAGCAAGTACTCTCAGCTAAAGACATTATATAACTTCAAAATAAAAGCCTAACAATTTATTTTCATTATCTGATGTGAAATTTCAAACATACGATTAAAAATGTGATTCATCGCGAATGACTATTGAAATTTAGCAATTTATCAAAATTTTTAATTTTAAATGTTTAATAGCCTTAGTGTGAACAAGTAAACTATATTCCTGGAAAACCTCAAGCACTTGTAGCCTGGTGGTCTATATTGCTTTTATTTCAATCCCAACCTTGTGGTGATTAGGATTATTTCACCGGTAAGAAGGCACAGGGGAAAGTTTTTTAGATGCGTTTTTTGTAGTCCATTTTTGGAACATTGTAGTTTCAACACGGCAGACCCACGTCATTAACCTCCACCGGCCCGTTGCATTTAAAATGCGTCGCCTAGTGGAAAATGCGGTCGGATTGTCAGAGCAACGAGATCGCCTTTCCCTAAGTCCTTTATTAATTCTCCTAACATCTTTCCTTGACCTCATGACGTTTTCGCGGGGTTAAGGTAAAGTGGATAGTGAAAGGAGATAGGAGGGACAATTGGAACGCACCCTAAGTCTCTTTTTGAGTAGTGTGACTGTCATGCGCAGGGGTGGGCAATTGGTGGCCCCCATCAACCCTCAGGTCAATTTTTACATATCAATTAATTGGAAACATGAAGAAAACTGAAAACAAAATCTGCCATAAAATTATGAAAACCAGAAATATTGCCCATCTGTTATGGTTTGTATTTAGACAAAGCAGACACAGCAAAATTGAATGAGTTGCAGGTGTGAGTAGTCACCAGGTGTTTGATTGAAGCCACGCCCTCCAGAGACAGAGACACACACACACACACACACACACACACACACACACACACACACACACACACACAGACACACACACACACACACACACACACACACACACACACACACACACACACACACACAGACAGACAGAGGGGGAGGGGACACAAGGGATACACAGAGAAACAGGTTCACAGCCAGAGCCGTGACACCATCCCATATGGGTGTCTCCGCCACCTTGACATATTTCAGCACTCAATGGAGATCCATTGTTTTTGCAGAGTTTATACAAAGTTTATGCTTCAGGCCCATACATCAGTTACTGTCAAACTGGTTTTCATCTGTTCAGTTGTTCAGCTGGCGTTTATGTTATTGCAACCCACTGTTAAATGTAAGGAGGCAACATTCTTATGAAGGGCATCATTCGTCTTGATAATCGAACTTCTAACCTTGATGACTTTATGAAGCTTCTTTATCACTTTTTTGGCGCTTCTTGTTATGACAGGTTGTCTTGTTTTCTGAGTAAAAGGTTTACTTTTTTTAATTTGGATTTCCGTCACATCACAGAGATTTCACCACTGTGTTCACTCCAAATTAATCTCTTCTGAGGTAAGCCGTAATATTCTTTATGTTGTTTGGGTGAAACTTGTGTTTCATTTTATAGACGCTGAGAAAACAACATGTTTCCATTAGTGTCTACTTTGAAGGTATTTTTTTTAACGTTTTCTGTACCTCTTTTATGCTGCATGCTTTAAGCTTCTTGCTTCTGATTTTTGTTTTTAATTGAACCCCTGTATCACATTTACTTGTTTTGTTACTGGATACTTTAGGGATAGGAAATACTCTTCACTGTTTGAGTTCAAGCTCTGATATAAAACCCCATGTCATATATCATACTTTATCAATCTATGATCCCATCAGTTAAAAAGCACATGTTCAGTTTGATAAATCTAGTTAAAAATAGTCCTCCATTTAGAGGTAGTACAGTGCCATCAAAATATATTTAAATGCCCAAAAATAAGTGTTGTCATTTGGTAAGCATGAGCTATTTGAATAGTTTCAATTAAATTACTGTAGACATGGTATCATATATGCTGAAGCTGTGAGACACAGAGTTGATGAGCTTAATTTAATGTTTTCTAAAATTATACATCATGATTTTTAGAATCATTGATTTTTTAATCGACAAAGTAACAAGTGAAACTGAAGAAAAAACACTGAGGAATAAATGGAATAGAATTAGAATCTGAAATGTAAATGTGTTAAAGTATAAAGTAACAAAATAGTACCAGTTAAAATGTCTACTTCAAAACAATCTTTAGTTAGGTATTAAGGTCTTTTACCTGCTTTTTGTAAAGTGTGTCGAGATAACACTTGTTATGAGTTCTGGTTATACAAATAAAAAATGATTGATTGATTGATTAGACTAAATGTACATGTTTCCTTCGTGCCTCCATTACTGCGTGCCTGCAGGGAAACTAACCCTATCTTAAGTCAACATTTTGTCCTCAAGTGACTTCACTACATTTCATAAGACCATGTAACCTTGGCACACCTGATTGTGAGAATTTGACCATCAGTATGAACATTGTAATTATGTTCCTGTCAAACCTCTAGCACCAAAAAGTTGTTTTGTTGTAAACTCCCTGTTTGGTAACATATAATTATCACATTCTCGATTGACAAGATTAGTTTGATGTTGAAAGCTAGACATGATGACACTATGAATATTCAGAGGTTTTTATGACTGAGTTAAGTGACTTCCAGAAGAATTCATATGATAAACTTAACACAGAGTCTGTTTCCCCTTTTTGTTGTTTTAATCCAGTACCAGAGGACTCACCATGGGGCTAAAAGGTTTTATAAGTAACCATGTCAACATGAAACTTCTGAAGACCTGTGTCATCCTCCTCCTTCTGACTGTGTTGTTCTTTGTATTAAGAAACATGGACCTGCTGCAGGTGAGAACTGGGATAAGTGGCAACAATGTTTTTTTGTGAGTCAGATTAAAGGGTACTATTTTCAACAGTGTCTTTTAATTTACTAAAAGGCCTAATTCACCAAGATCTGTGCGACAATTTACACATAAATAAAGTAGAAATTAAGTATGTCCTCTGTAAATGTCTCTCTGAGTCATGACTGTCTATTAGTGAGAAGCAGAGTCCTGCTGGCTGTGTTGTTGTTGGAGCCGTGTTTACATCATGTTTACATGAGTATAAAGCTGTTTCAGTCAGGACTGGACAAAATAAGAATAACATAGCCAACACACTGTTTATTTAAATGTCAGATAAGTGTCTTTAGGTCACAGCCTTTCTGTGTCAATTTATTTGCAATATGAAGATTTAACCACTGCGCTAGTAGTCATATATAAGCTCAAGTCCATTTACAATTTCTGTTTAATTACTACAGCAGCACAAAATTGTTAAATGGACTTATATAGCGCTTTTCTAGTCTTCTGACTACTCAAAGCGCTTTCACACTGCATGTCACACCTATCCACACCCTGACGGCAAAGGTTGCTATGTAGTGACATTATCAGAAGTAACTAATCCCATTCATACGGCGCTGACGAAGGGGTTAAGTGTCTTGACCAAAGACACATCAGACATGTTGCTGCAGGAGCTAGGGACAAACAATCGACCTTGCGCTTGAGAGATGACGTCTCTACCAACTGAGCCACAGCCACATCTAAAATAGAACTTGCCCCCGGAACCCCCGAGGTGGTTCTGTGTCCTCCTGCCATAGCCTCATAAAATCCTGTGAGAAACACTCTAGACCAGGGGTGCCCAAACAGTCGATCGCGATCGACAGGTAGATCGCTGACTGATTCTCAGTCGATCGAGATGTTTAGTCAATATAAAATACAATTGTAAAATAGAAAAGTGATTTCAATTTCATCTCATTGCACTCACACTCACACACACACACACACACACACACACACACACACACACACACACACACACACACACACACACACACACACACACACACACACTTGCACTGGAGCGCCAGCCACCACGCGAACCTTTTTACTTTTTACTTTTAGTGCTACAGCACACAGTTGATCCGTGATCTTTACGGACCGAGGCGGGAACACACGTGACCCGGTCAAACAGTCGGTTGGACTTTACTCCATTCACTCTCACCGTGTCTGCAGCTAATTTAACAAAAGCAAAATCATCTCACAGCAGCCTGCTGTAGTCTGTGAACATCTCCACACAGATTAAAGTTGTTTGTTGTAAACTAAATTAAGGGGAAAACATATGTGATATAAATACAAACTTAATATTAAAATGTAGCCTACCCTAAAATAAGAGTTTTAAAAAAAGTATGTCGATATTGCATTATTTTTTACAGAACTCTCATTTATTATATCTGATATTATTTTCTGTTTGTTGTGTGAGTATTAAATGCATTTGGAGGCTGTCGGTAAAGGCTACGGCTCACTGTGTGGACTGGTAGATCTCTGCAGACTGGCAACTTTAAAAGTAGATCTTGGTTTAAAAAAGGTTGGGCAATCAAATACACGATTTAATAAGCTACAAGGTTGTAGATAATAATGCACTTTTTCAGACTTATGTACTAAAGCTAGAATCAAAGCATATATCTCCAGTGAAAGGATATGAACAATAGGCTGGTCAGAGCAATGAAACTCCCGGGCTTCTTGCCTTCTTCCCCTAGTAAAAGACTATTGCCCTTAGGCATCGTTTTAGAGACATTTCAGTGCCTTCCAGCAGCTTACAGTTTACAAATCAACAGTTATGATTAATCCTTATTCTTTTAGAAAAATCACTTATCTTTCTTTCAGTTTATTTTATTGAAGTAAATTTGTTCGATGCGTCTTTGTCACCATCTCTCTTTTTCAACCCCTTTCCAGCTACATTATGAAGAAAACTCTACCATCGTCCCTAAGAAAGTGACCTCTGCTCCTCCCACTGCTCCTCCCACTGCTCCTCCCACTGCTCCTCCCAGGCCTGATGATTTCTGCACCTTTAAGCCACTGTCTTTGGCAGATGCTGAGGAGGAACGCCTGTTATTAGATTCCATTGCTTGGCCTGAATCTCCACGTCCGCCACCTTTTTTTTTATTAAACCAGACAAGTGATCCCGCCCACAGCACCTTCACCATTCTCCCAGGGAGGGGTGGAGTAGAGCGGCACATAGGAGACCAGCTGGAAGTTATGATACAAATGTACGACTTCCAAGGAAACCCCAAGAAGTCTGGAGGAGATGTCTTACTTGCCCGGTTGCACAACAGGGCACTTGAAGCAGGTGTGGCTGGACGAGTGGTGGATCACCTTAATAGCTCCTACTCTGCTGTATTCCCTTTACTCTGGGAAGGAAGTGCACAGGTTGAGGTAAAGTTCAAGGCTTAAAATGGTATTGTAAAACAAGTGATGGTAAAGGAATCACCTAATGTTATTGTCCTGTAGGTCATTTAATTCCAAAGTTCAGAGTGCTATCTGCCACTGGGCAGGTAAATGTTTTACCAAAATGTCATAAAAACTATGCTGTGAGTAATAAGCGCGTTTTATGTAGCTGCAATTACTTTTCCCTGCTCCTCTCTCTGTCGTCATGACTGTGAGACACACCAACATGCTGCACAAACACACACACACACACACACACACACACACACACACACACACACACACACACACACACACTCACACACTGGAGCGCCTGCCACCACGCGCAGTTATTTAGAGTATTACAAGTTCAACTTTCCAGCTAGTAGAGAGTTGACCAATTCCATTAATCTCTCTTACGTTTTTAAGTTAAGTAAATTATTAACTTTAGTCAGCTGGCACCAAAAATACAGATGAATTATCTTGGAAACATTGATTTAACAATCAAATGTTACAGTAGCGGCAGTAGCTCAGTCTGTAGGGACTTGGGTTGGCAACCGGAGGGTTGCCGGTTCAAGTCACGGTGCCGACGAAATATGGAAGTTGGTCTGGTAGCTGCAGAGATACCTGAGCACTGCCTAGGTGCCCTTGAGCAAGCCACAAAGTCCCCTCCCCACCACATGTTGCATGATTAACAGAGTGTAAAAACAGAATTTCCCCTTGATCTTAATCTTAAACAAAAAATAGCAGGCAAAGGGTGTATGCTGTAATTTGAGAACTCTTGTGTTTTGTTTTATCAGGTAACGCTTGTCCACTCAAGCGAGGCTGTCACAGTTCTGCACAGGCTGAATAGAGAACATCCTGAAAGGGTTCTCTTTAAAAGCCTCTTCCGCTCAGGTTCAATCTCTGAAACTGCCTCCTGTAACGTTTGCCTACGTCAAACCAACCAGCCACAGTGCAACTACACTGACCTCCGTACAGGCGAGCCTTGGTTCTGCTACAAGCCAAAGAAACTGAGCTGTGATGACAGGATTAACCACATGAGAGCCGGATTCAATGTAAGACTCAAGGACAAAGAGGAGAAGCTTTTCCAAAGGTGAGGGAGCACAGCAGTAGAAAAGTTGCATCTAGTTTTACATGTAATGACTTTAAGTATGTAGTATGTGTCACATGGTGGAGAATTTTGTGTTTGTAACTACAGGTGGCAAAGATGAAATGTATAATTTAAGATAATACCTATCAAAACACTTAATCTGAACAATTAAAGTTGACTCTAATCAACAAAACTATGAAGTGTATATTTTCATTCCAAATATGGAGTGATTTATTATGACTAAAGTGTTACCATTTGGTAAATCACTTCTGACATTTACATATTGTAGTGTGTTTAAGAGATTCTTAATCATGGCAGTTTTTCCCACCCAGCAAAATCAACCTGAAAGTCTTCATTCACTCTTCAGGACCAGCCAATGTTACTGTGCTGCCTCCAAGGAAAGGTAACGCACAACTTTTCTACTTCCACCTTTAAAAGATATCCATGTGACCTTGAAAATAAAAAATACTACACAATAAAAAAAAAAAGTGACAATAGCTGTTTATCTCTGTGCCTTGTAGAGAGCATATCACATATAAGGCAAAAATAAATAAATGAAACAGATTCCATCTACAAAACTGAGATAGAGCTGGAAGCGTTTACTTCATTCATGCTCAAAACAAGATTTATTTTATGCAAAATACGATAGGGGTTATCGCAACCGGCTCACCTTTACAGGTACTCTCCCCTACACCATCTGTGAGCCAGTGGAATCGCTCTCTCCTTTTCCCTCCCTCAAGGCACCCCCTCCAAACTGGAAATGAGTTGAGTGGCTTATGCAGGTTTTCAAATGGGCACCCCCCTTCCTCGATGTTTCATTGATTTAAGCCCATGACATCTTGGGGGGGCTCGACGGTAGAACCAGCATCCTGGTACTACCCCCGCAGTTTGCCACTCAACTCTGATGTTTTCCCTCCCCAGGTTTGCTCTGCAAGTGCTCATTCCGCTTCATCCAAATCCACCGGGATGTTGCCTCTGCCTGCTTGGTGATGTTGGCTATCAGCCGCTTCCTAGCCTGGCCTTCAATTCCAAGCAGTCCAAGAGCTCTCCAGAGCGACTGTCCTGCGAAGCCCCTGCAGCCGACCTCCACCGGCAGGTTCCATGCCTTCCACCCATTACGCTGGCTGTCGAGGATGAGATTCTGATATTTCTTGAGCTTGCACTCATGTGCTTCCTCCATCCTCTCTTCCCAGGGTACTGTAAGTTCCATTAGGATCACTTGCTTGGTACCTTTAGACCAGAGGACAATGTTGGTTCTGAGGTTGGTAAGGGTTATCTCCTCTGGAAATTTGAGCTGCTGCTTAGGTCAGCCCGCATCTCCCAGTCACTTGCCGTGCCCAGGACTCCTTTAGTCCTCAACTCTGCTGTTGTTGTTGCACTTTCCCCTGACCTGAGAAAGTGGATGAAACGAGGACCATCAGTACGTTGTTTTGGCCTCTTTCTGGCCTGTTCCACACCAGCAGCCAGTTGTGTCAGGATCTGGTCGTGTCGCAACCTGAATTTCCCATTCGCCAGACTTGACCCACACAAGGAGAGGACATGCTCCAGGTTAGCTGGCCTTCCACAGAGCGTGCAGCAGGGCCTTTCGGCCAATCCCCATGTGTGGAGGTTTGATGGAGTCGGCAGGACATCATACACGGAACACAACAGAAACTTGATCCGGTGTTCTTCCATGCTCCAGATGTCCTTCCAAGTCAGTGCCCTTTCTCGCACACTCTCCCACCTCGTCCAGCTGCCCTGTTTGTTCATGGCTACTGCCTTGACATGTCTGCCTTCCTCCTCTGCCCTGCGTACCTCCCTTTGAACCATGCCACGGCGTTCCTTTGGATTAGCCTTTTTCCAGTTTGCCTTAGTGGAGCAACCCAGGCCTAGCCTGCCCTGGGCTACTGCCCCAACAATGTCAGCATGGTGAAGGCAATCCTCCGCCTCCCTCAGCGCTCTGCTGGCTGACCACTTGCACCTGTTCTGACCTCAATATCTGCCTGGCGAACTCTTGCATCTTTGCTGTCTCGCAGCATCATGGCCTGGCGGGTTTTTGTTGCCTTGTACTCCTCCACTACTGATGCAGCTGCAGCTTGCTGCCTGTGCTGTACAGGCCAATGGAACAGAAGCTTCTTGGGACCCCCAGCCATCTCCTCAGGTAAGTGTCAGGAGTGTGAGGAGATAGTTCTATTGTACTATTAAAAATTTTAACTATTTAACAACTGCAACGTTTTGCTTTTAATAATTAATATTTTCTTATAAAAGGTATTTGGTAACATTTTCCTTAAAGAGCATATTGCAGGTTAAATCTTTTTGTAAATTAACACTTAACATTGTCTGGCAAAGGTTGTAGAATAAGTCAATGTTTGATTTGATATTTTATACAACACAAAAGGGCAAAAGATTAGAGGAGAAAGTGGCCGTTTTCTGTATTGCTGTTTAGAACGTTCATTTTTTTATCAACATCACGTCATATACAAGGGGCAACCTCCGGTCTCGAAAAATGAAGCCTATGCGGAAGTACAAAAAACTGCAGTTCCTCGAGGTTCCGCTTGAGGCTGGCTGCAGAAGCGCCGGAAGTGCCATAAGCCCACAGCCAAAAAAGCCCGTTTTTACCACAGGAATCAACATGTTTACAGCCTGGTTCACAAAACGAGATATATCTGAGAAGTTGACGGCCCCTTCTCCTCACACTGTGGGGGGGGGGTGAATTTTTTTATAACTCATCGGATTTTATTCTATGAAGGAAAACGACTATGCCCATATTTGGTTGTGTCAGATTTGATTGACAGCTCTGCGCGCTGCATCTGTCTGTCAGGTCAGCAGGTCAGGAGGCTAACAGCTTGATCCGTCTGATTTCTCCTCTTTCTTACTTCGTTTGGAGAGTTTGTTTAACACATATCTGACAACATACATGGCTTGCTGTGCGGTTAACAGACCATCCAACAAGTTGATGCTTCAGTTTTCTTCGGTAAGTGATATAGTAGTGTTATATTTACTGTATACTTGTGTGTCGGTATTTATATTTACGGACCTAGCTTGTTTAGCATTAGCTTGTAAACCAGTCGACGAACTGTGTAGCTCATTATTTACATTATTTACGGTCAATGGTTTAGAAATGTTTGTTGTTAAGATGTTGAAAATGAGTTTGTGTGATGTTAGAAGCTAAAGGTTCACCTCAGTTGTTATCTGACGTTATGATGAATGTTATACTCCACGTAAATGTGGACATTAAAAAACAAACTTTGTGTAGTAATTATCCGTCAGTAACATAAACTGAACTGAACCTAATGTGCTGTGTAGGTTATAGAGGATGACATTAAAGTTACATGGTTGATGTAGTGTCTTAAGATTTGAGCAAACTGTTAACAAATTAAAAAAACTTCACTTTGTAAGAGCATCTGTAACCATTAAGAACTATATTAATAACCATATTAATTTTCACTGAACTCATACACAGAATATAGCAGTAGAAATATAAAATATAAATAACATATGAAATATGTATGAGAATAAGATTTAAAGCACATAGATATAAAGTATAAGAAATAGTTTGAAGAATACAGCCATGTACTGAGCTCATGTTAATAATAAATGAGTTACTGTATGTTGGGATCTGTTAATGATTTAAATAATTCAGGTTATATTTGTTTCATGTTAAGATGAAGTACTATCCACAATAAACTGCTTAATTTTTCCTCACAAAATCTGAGACAATTTGATGTGGAATATCATTGTGTGAGTGAGAGAGCTGAAAATAGCATGATTACAATAAGGTTTATCTTCTTAACTTTAAATAGATGTTGATTACCTGAATACTGTACCTTTGTTGTCTGGGTAGTATACTGTTGAATTTATAAATGTAATCTTACACACAGATGAATACAGAAAAATAGATGAGAACAAAAAAAGTGATTTAATGAATAACTGATATTTTCTCTCTTTCTTTGTCATCCTGAAGACCTCTCACTAAAAGTCCATGTTCTCCTGGATCCATGTCACATGCTCGAGCTTCTTCTGAATACTTTTCAACAGTTGAAGTTCTGCTGAGAGAAGATGGCCAGCAGGCAGGACAGCAGTACATGAAGGAGCTCCACAGGCTTCAGGAGGAGGAGGAGGGTTTGCACTTTGGAAGACTGTATTCATGCTGTTCAAATAAAAATAGATCTCCTCCAAACAACTTGCAATCAAACCATTTTCTTCCCATTTTAAAACCCTTTGTCCAGTTTAGATGGGAGAAGTTGATATTATGTGATATTGATCAGGGAAGACTACATTTCTAAATCATTTTTAACTGTGTTTTTATTCACAAGTTATTGATCTTATTTACTCTCCATGTATCTTGATTTAAGAATGGGGCTGTGTTTAAGAGCATATTTTTGCAATGACTCTGTTCCATCCCACTTTCAGAAATGAACTACATTAGTATTTGGTAAAAGAAAATGTCGAAAGAATAAGAAGTTGTGTAAAAGTAGACTTCCACATTTTAGTCTTGTCATTTCAAATCTGAAATGTATACTCATAAGTAGACATAAAGGAGTGCATTTATATAGAAATATTTATTTAATCTGAAAAACAACATTAAAAAAAATCTGTTTTTACAGCAGAGATGAACATGTTTACAGCTTGGTACAAAACAAACAAATAGGTGTGATTAGCTCATGTCTCGATGGACACACACTGTACGGGGGGTGACTGTTTTGATGACTCATCAGTTTTGATTTGATGAAGGATAAGAGTTATTCACAATAAGGCTTGTAGCTGACCAGCTTGACAGGCGGGCGCAGTGTAACGGTTTGTCAAGAGGCTTAAAACCCGTCTCAGCTCTCAGCCTGTGGGTGACATCACTCAGGCCATCCGGGGGAGACCTCCCTCACAGCGAGTTGTTGAAGAGAAGCAACTGAAGTCCACCCCAGAAGAACCAACAAATGCAGATGTTGTTGAGGCTCAGGTTTCTTCCTCTGTCTCTGCAGCTCTCTGGGCACCTCGATGGACAAGTCACCAATAATTCACACTGTGTCTATAGGAGAAAAACAAAGGTGTTCAATTAATGCCTCAGACAAGACAAAATGTACAGTTAACTACATGTGACAGCTCAGGCTGTTTTTTTGTTATGAGCCACATCTGCAGGAATAATATTGAACAAGGTAGCTGCAACTCATCATAATAGATGCCAGTCTTAAACACTATTTTTTCTAATAAAGTTTTTGGTGTGAAGCTGACACTGTCCACAGACTCCATGACTTCACGGGGTTCAATAGAAAACAAATGTCTTGTAATAAATACTAAATAATTATTTTTCAATTGTCATGTTCACCTCATCGCTGTTGACATCAGTAAATATAAAACACAGACATTCCTCTTTTTGTCAGAACAGTAACATGAACTGTATGCTTTGTAATATTGATTTCTTCTGGATGTCTCATATTTATTTACAGTTTATGAATAAAACTTTGTTAATGTATTGCTCTGCTAACACTGACAAAGTCTAACTGCTCTGACAAATAACTAAAAACCATGACTGTATATTTAAAAAAGTGTAGTTTTAAGACTTTAATTAAATATTTGGGTTGAATATAATTAGTTTTAACTGTGTTGTAGAAAAGTTAAATGTTAACTTACTGTTTGTAGAGTTTTCTCAGGACGAGCAGGAGTAGGGGATGATAGCAGCCTTGCTGTGAAGTGGACTGCTAACGTCGAGCTGAATGGGTGGAGTTAAGTCCCGCCGGTCCCGCCTTACTGCTGTCGTTAGGTTGATCCGAAGTTAGGTTGAGACTGCAAATCCAATATGGATGCGGCCGTCGATTGGACTCATTTTCTGTAACAGACGGGTCAGGGTTCGTCCAGTAATATTTACAGTCTATGGTCATATATGATGTCATCTTAAGTCTCAAGTGAAATAAGCAAGGTCAAGGAGAGACCTTGTTTTGGGTTTTTTATGGGATCTGTTGACAATATATTTTAAAACAATGACTTTAATAACTTAAAGGTTATTTTGATCAATATTTCTTAGGGCAACCTGAGGTCGATCAAGGCAGTGGGAAGTCTGGACTCTCTGGGTATTACTTCCATGGTGTGTGGCGATCACTTGGTGGCACCAAAGTCCACCAATTCAACAACTCCTCTGCCATCAGTCAGTGTCTGAAAGGAAAGGCGGTCCACATGTACGGAGACTCCACCCTTAGGCAGTGGTTTGAGTACCTTGATGCTTCACTTCCAGGTAGTTAATACACATTCATTTCAGGTGACAGTTTAATATTATTTATATAACAGCTAAACTTGTTCCTTCTGTCATACTTTCAGATGCTAATGAGATTAACCGGAATAGTCCGAAGAAAACTGGACCTTACATGATATGGGACAATGCAAAAAACATCTTGGTAACATACCGTGTCCATGGTCCTCCTCTTAGTTTTATCTACGTCCCAACCAGTGAGCTGCGTTACATTTCCAATGAAATTGACGGGTTGGTAGGTGGCACCAACACAGTTGTAGTTTTTAGCATCTGGGCCCACTTCAGCCCTTTCCCAATTGAGCTCTACATCAGACGGCTTCAGAGCATCCGCAGGGCGGTGATTCGTCTGTTGAACAGGGCTCCAGACACGCTGGTGGTCATCAGGACTGCAAACCTCAGAGGTTTAACACCTTCTGTATCGTTAAACTACAGTGACTGGTACACACTACAGCTGGACAAGGTGCTAAGAGCTGTGTTCAAAGGACTTAATGTTCGACTAGTGGACGCTTGGGAGATGACTCTGGCCCACCACCTGCCTCACAACATTCACCCAGGCCGTCCTATTGTTAAGAATATGATTGACATTATCTTGTCCTACATATGCACCAAATAGGGCTAATAGATGTGCATTTGTTATGAGCAGGTTAAAGACCTCACTCTTTTTTACATTGTGTTACAGTATAGCAGGTAAACTCTGTGTTATCTGCAAAGACCCAATAGTAATCCATCACAGCACTTAGCAACATTTAGCGAAGTTACAGTGGCAAGGAAAAACTGTCTTTTTACAAACCGAAACCTTGAGCAAAACCAGATTCATGTTTAACAGCCAACTGCTGAAACAGTGTTGGGCTTGAAAGTATGTGTTTTATTAGCAGTAACAGTTAGGCATGATAATAGACTGATCAGTCTAATATTAACGTTAGTAACAGTATGATGAAACAGTTAGGACTGCTTATGTTTGATCATGTGTATGTTTTTATCAGACCTCCGAAGGACTTTATGTTTTTATTTTTATAAATCATGATTAAAATGATAATTTTGGTCATGTAAAAAAACATGTTTGTTGAGTTGAACTTTCGTGCACGGCCTGAATACGCCCTCTTTTTTTGAGAAATAGAAATATCGCATGATGGTCCATCCATGCTCAAACTGCCTGCAATCCCTAAGTACAACGAGAATAGATTACCATAATAGGGAAATGGGGAGCTTAAAATGCTTATGAAGAGTAATAATGGTTTGAATATGAACTTATTGTTAATCGCATTGTGTATTCATTTAGAGGGAATTAAAAGTAGTTGAAAAGTCAGTACCTTAGAAATTACCTCATGAAAAATGAAACAGAACCAATTGTTAACAGATTTTTCAAACAAAAAAAACGTGTTTTATTAATAAAGAATGATCTCTGTCTAAATGCATAAAAGACCTAGATGGTCTAATTTACATGCTACACAAACATAGGCCGAAATACACAAACATGCACAAACAGGATCCTCTGGACATGCATTAATAATGAGGTCTCAGAGTGAGTGGGCTGCCCACAGCAAGCTCTCCAGAGCAGTTTCAGGTTCGGTGCCTTGCTCAAGGGCACCTCGGCAGTGCTCAGGAAGTGGACTGATGCCTCTCCAGCTACCAGATCAATTTCCGGACTTGGTCCGGGGACTTGAACTGGCAACCCTCCGATTCCCAACCCAAGTCCCAACAGACTGAGCTACTGCCACTCTTGGTTGTCGCTAATGCTAAGCTATATGCTATGCTAATGCTATGCTACATGCTATGCTACATCAGAAGCAATACATAACACTTAATAACAAGGCTAATGCTAATGTTACACATAGTAACTTCAGTACACCCTGTTACTTCAAATACATACTGCAACCACATGCTAACAGAACAACAAAAGGCTAACCACATTGCAATTGCAATACATGGTAAATAAGCATACAGCAAGTGACTGTCCTCTGCTCTTGAAGCAAATTTGTCGAACCACTGTGCCGAGGCATGGTTTGGTCACTTGACTAGTGACATTCGAAGCAGTTGAAGGCTTCGAATGTCATACGAATCACCTGATTGGTTCGGTTTGTCATTTGGATCACTTGGCGGGATCAAGTATGTTCCGGGGTAGGCTATCCCTATTTAGTGTGGTTCATTTGAATTTTTTTCGAGAGTAGGTTGGTTTTTTCGCTGTTGTTGCTGTTGGTTGCTTAAAGAGTTAGTAGTGTTGTATCAGATTACGTATTTTGTAGAGAATCAGTGTAGATAGATAGACCCGGATAATAAGGTAATTACCAGTGTTATTTTGATTTCACTTGTAGCCTATTTACCCTGGAAACCCCCTTAAGGGCAAGCCCTCAAGTACAATGATGTTGCTATAGAAAACATAATTACACAATTGTTGTCCTTGATGTACATGCCTGTAGTAGCCAATGCCAAATTTCAATGGGGTGGAAAATTACATATGAATGCATTCAAATTATGATTGACTTTGCTGACTGATTGTTTCACAGGTCCAGTGTGTGCTGTTTGATTCAAGGCTGTCATACAGCAACACACCTTGTCCATGCTGAGGCACTTGTAGCATATACAATTATAATACGGGGCACCAGCTTTAAGAATAAGCACAAGACTATTAACCTTAATTATAGTAATGAATTAATAAATGAATCTGTCTCATATTATCAGAGTAAGTTCTCAAGCAGTTTAAAACCAGAAAAATACACAGACAAATTACAGAATTTTTATGTGTAAAGTTTAAAGGTCCCATATTATGCTTTTGCTGGTTTTATATGCCCTTTAGTGTGTTTTCCAAGTGTCCCGTGCATGCTTAGCCACATCTATGTGCAAAAATTCAAAGTCCGCGGAAACGCGGCTTCTCCTACGTTCTCCTGTTAGCTGTAGCATTAGCCACATGTAACGCTCAGTTCTAGCCCACCTCGATAAACATTTGTCAGTCCGACATCATTGTCAGTGTGAGATCACTGATCTAAGCCCATTGGCTCGTTGTGGCAAGCCTTGCAGCTCATGTTGAAATTTCCGAGACGTGTGCTGAGCAACTGACCAATAACGACAGAGCGGATCGGCAGACCAATCAGAGCAGACTTGGGCCACGTGGGGTCTAACAGTGGGGGCTCAGCAGAGCGTAGCTGATGGACTCAGAGCGTAGAGGGAGCAAGGAGGAGCAGTATGAAAACAGACACTTTTTTCGGACTTTAGCTATTGTGAACCCACAAAAATAGATACATAGATTAAATATGCAAACCCCAAAAAGGGCATAATATGGGCTCTTTAATATAGAAAATGGTGAACAAGATATATGAATAAAGTAAATATGCAAAAAATATAATTACACAGTGATTATGAAATGACATGAACAACGTAAATAAGAGAATGTTAATTCTTGATTTCTAAGTTTGATATGG